TGTGTGTGTGTGTGTGTGTGTGTGTGTGTGTGTGTGTGTGCAACGGGTGTTTGAAATGAAGCATGTGCCTTGTCAAGCGTTTTTTTTTTCACTCTCACACTGGATGTTTGCTTTGCTTCGCTGTGATATCAGGTATCTGGGGACGCCCTTGCGCGCGTGTGCATCATCTCGGCCATGGCGGAGCTCCACCTCCTCCTCAACCAAACCGACGTTACAAAGGTCTGTCTGTGTGTCTGTGTGTCTGTGTCTGTCTGTCCATGTATGTCCATGTATGTCTGTGTGTGTCTGTGTGTCTGTGTGTCTGTGACTGTGTGTCTGTCTGTCTGCCCCTGTCTGTGTGTCAACATGGCTTCTCCTCCCTGTGCTCCCTCATACCCACCCCTACTCACTCACCACACCACCACCCTGATCAGGCAAAGTTGAAGGAGGCAGAGGCGCTGCTCGAGGAGCAGGCCGGCGTCACGGAGATGCACGCAAACTTCTACCGCGTCGCCGCAGAGTACTACAAGGTTCGGCGACGAAGAGGAAAGGGGGGAGGAAAAAGTACCTGTGGTGCTTGCAGCGGTGGTGGTGGTGGTGGTGACATAAACGAGGCGAGTGGCTGCTTTCTTCTACAGCTTGGCACTTGTCCTCTGCCTACTCACACCACCTCCACTTGTAACTCTCCCCACATGCAACACTCACCACACGCACCACTTTCACCACTCCCGATACCAACGAACAGAACCAGGGCGTGTACCACGAGTTTTACACGAATGCACTGCGCTATCTCGGCTGCATTGAGCTCGACACGCTCGGACGTGAGATGACGCGAGCACGCGGGCGGGCGATGAGTCATAAAGAGGGAAGGGGGGGGAGGATAATTTGGAGGAGAAAGAGGGGAGGGAGACGACAGTCTGTTCGCTGCGGTGTTGCCGCTGCGTGCATGTGCACTCACGTTGTACTCTTCACACTGCACACATATTGGCTCATGACCGCTGCCACGATCACCGTCACTGCCATCACCGCCACCACCAACAGCTGAGCAGCAGGTGCAGCGCGCGTTTGATCTCGCCCTCGCCGCCATTTTGGGCAAGGGTGTCTACAACTTTGGCGAGCTGGTACGCACCTCTCTCTCTCTCTCTCTCTCTCTCTCTCTCTCTCTCTCTCTCTCTCTCTCTCTCTCTCTCTCTTTCTTCTGCTGGTTTGCCGGTCTGAACACTTCTCCTCCTCATCCACCACCACATCATCGTCGTTATGACTGTTTCACTTCTCATGTGCCATGCATCACCTCCCTTTCATTGTGCATTCGTGTGCGTGTGTGTGTGTGTGTGTGCGTGTGTGTGTGTGTGTGTGTGTGTGTGTGTGTGTGTGTGTGTGTGTGTGTGCACAGCTTGCCCACCCGATCCTGGAGAGCCTGCGCTCGACATCGAAGGAGTGGCTCATCGACCTCCTTTACGCCTTCAACAGCGGTGCGCTGAACGTGAACACGCGTGCACGTGTCGGCGTGGAGGGGTTTGGAGTTGTGTGTGTGTGTGTGTGTGTGTGTGTGTGTGTGTGTGTGTGTCGTACTACGACGAGAGAAGTAGGCGATGAGCACTGCTGACTTTGTGCGCTCCCTGTTCGAATACGGGGATTAGGGCAATCTAGCTAATGGTGGTTACGGCCCCTAAAAATGTTAAGCCCTTACCTAGAGAGTGTGGTGGTCATACTTGAACGTGTGTGTGTGTGTGTGTGTGTGTGTGTGTGTGTGTGTGTGTGGTCTTCAAACCCGTGAAGGCGAAAGACACCGTTGTGATTGATGTGCCGTGTAGTTGAACGCTCCACCGCGTGTGCTGTGTGTCACTCATCTCTACCACATCATTGCACCACCACCCCCAGGTGACCTTGCCAAGTTTGAGTTTCTGCAGCCGCAGTGGGGCAGCGACCCAGACCTCAAGGCCAAGTAAGGAGGGGGGGGGGGGTGATGGCGGTGGTGGTGGTGAAAGTGGTTGTGGTGGCTGCTGTGCATTGCTTTGTTGATGAAATGCACGCATTTCGCTTTAGTCATCGCTCGCACACACACACACACACACACACACACACACAAACACGCACGCACGCACACCCACGCCCACGCATGGCCGTGGTCGCAGTGAGAGCGTGATGCAAGAGAAGATCCGGCTGCTTGCGCTGATGGAGATGGTGTTCCGCGCGCCGGCGAACAACCGCCGTCTCGCCTTTGACGCCATTGGCGACGCCACCAAGACCCCTGTCGACCAGGTGCGGGCGCTGCGCGTGTGTTGCACGTGCGTTTGTGTTTGTGTTGAATTTGTGCTGTGTATCTGTAGCTCTGAGTGCGAGCCCTGTTTCGTTCAGTTCCTCACCCCAGCTCCCCCCCCCCCCACACACACACACACACACGCGCGCGCACACACACACACACACACACGCGCGCGCGCGCGCGCACGCATGTCAGGTTGAGATGCTTGTGATGAAGGCGCTGTCGCTGGGGCTGGTCCGCGGCTCCCTCGATGAGGTGGACAGCGTCGCCGTGCTCACGTGGGTGCAGCCAAGAGTGCTGAGTCAGCAGCAGGTGGAGGCGATGGCCACCCGCTTCAACGCCTGGACGGCGACGGTGGACCAAACCGCCTCTGCCATGGAGACGCGGGCCCCCGAGCTCTACGCGCTGTAAACACACACACACACCATGTGCGTGTTGTGCTTGGGTTGTGTGCTCTTTGGTTGGTGCAAAGGGTCTTTGAGTTGCTGTTCGTGGGTTTGGTTGTTTGGTTGAAAAACAGATAAACGTTGCTCGCAAACAGCAAGCAAGCAAGCAAGAAGTTGACCAACAACAAGGGACCAAACATCTACTCAAAATCAACGTCGCACACGCTTTGCACGCGTGCACATTCAACACAGGAGCATACACTACTTGCATAACAACAAACACACACACACAATCACAATCACACATCACAAACACACGCACAAACACACAATCACACATCACACATCACACACACACGCACACACACAATCACAAACACACACACACAATCACACCATCACACACACAATCACACACAATCACGCCATCAGAATCAGAGGGCAAAGACGCCCTCGGTGTGAATGGCGTTGCCTGTGAGGGAGACGAGACACAGCTCCCACTCCATATGCTTCAGAATCTCCGCCATGAGTGCAGAGAACGAAACACCCGCCGCCGCCTCCACCTCCTGCGGCGTGTCCGGGCCATGCAGCAGCGTGCTGACGAGTGGCAGATCGTGTGCGCTCGCCATCACCATGGACAGGTCGACGCTGCCCTGCGGCCGGAAAAAATCGTCACTGGCTGCGGTGTCGTCGACAACCACCAGCCGCGATGCGCCGTGACGCGCGCACCAGTCCACCACGCAGTCGTCATCAGGCTCGCTCTCCACGGCCTTCCTGCGCGGCGCTGCTGGGCTGTCCCCATCATCATCATCGCCATCAGCAGCCACCACGTTGGCCTGCACAAAGGCGACCACGGCAGCAGCGATGCGACTGAGTGTGTCGTTGTGCACCCGATACAGCACGCGCACGCGGTCGGCCGTGTCCTCGTCGTCTGTCGAGCACACGTACTCTGGCATTTCGTCGCCCTGCATGAGGTGGAAGCGGCGGGCGTGAACATCTTCTCCTCTTGCTTCTCCGCGCGCGTGGCCAGCCTCACCACTGCTGCTGCTGCTGCTTGTGGTGGTGGTGGTGTTCGTGTTGACGGTGGTGCCAGCTGTGGTGGCTGTCTCTGTGCCTGCGTCTGCTGCATGTGTCGATGCGGCGGGGCGGCGACGCAGCTCCCGCCGCAGCACGTCCTTGGCCTGGGAGACCTGGGTCAGGTTTGGGATGTGGCCCAGGCTGGCCAAGTGGATGAAGGGCAGGCGGTGGTAGCGCAGGCACGACAGGTTGGACAGCTTTGGGTGGGCTGCGAGCCGCGACACAAAGTTCTGCAGCTGCGTGAAGAGCTGCTGGGCGAGAGGGGACGCGCCGCCGGAGGAGGGCAGGGCGACGACGCCGTAGGTGCGGCGCATGGTGAGGTGGGCCAGCGTCGGGGACGGCAGGGTCGCCGTGGTGCTCCAGATGGTGCGGATGGAGCAGCAGTTGCGGATCTGCAGGCTCAGCGGGCTTCGCGCCTCCACGTTGAGCGTCTCGTTGATGAACCCCCAGTGGCAGACGATGGCGATGCGCGTCTCCGGGCACACGGAGAGCCAGTTGAAGAAGGTGCGCAGGCGGCCGACGCGGTCGCCGGCAATGTGCCACCAGTTGTCTGCGACGCCGTCCAGGCGCACGTCGTCAAAGCGCGAGAGCGCAGAGAGCATCAGGCACGACTTGAGGTCCTGCCGGTTGCGACCTTGGCACTCTGGCATGTCTGGGTAGAACTCTGTGATGACGGGCCAGGCGTAGATGGGGCACTTCTCCTCGGCAAAGGCGATGCACGCCGTCTGGATGGCCCGCGTCAGTGGAGAGCAGTACACCGTCTGCACGCCCCACTTCTTCACAGCTGCGCGCATGCATGGAATAACGTCGGTGGTGGCGTTGGTGGCGGTGTTGTTGAGGTGAGATAAAAAGCATGGGGGGTGACAACCGAGCCAGCGAGTAAAGCAAGATGCATGAATGCACATGAAGAACAGTCGATGCGCACAAGCCACGCGCACGCAAGCCCCACAAACACACACGCACACGCACCTGACTGCAAGCCCATGGCCTGTTCATGGCCGATCCTGGTGAGGGGCGCATCGCGAAAGTCTGGGTGGTTGTTGTCGGACGCAACGTTTGCCTCGCTCTGGCCATGGCGCACAAAGTACACCACCTTGTGGCCTCCCTGCTTCACATCGTCGGGAAGGCTGTCCTCCCCGTGGTGGTGGTCTTCCACCACATCCACAAGCTGGATGTGCGGCGGAATCAGGCTGGCCATCGTGGAGTTGGGGGGAAGGTGGTGCGGTCGTGTGGTGTGTTGTCTTCTTGTTGTCGTGTGTTCTTGTTGCGGTTGTATTGGTTGTGGGCAAAAACTGCCAAGTCAGCAGAAACGGCCGTGTTTTGGTTGGCACAAACATGTCCGCACGTTTGTGGTGGTAAGACTGAACTGACAGCAGCGCCAAACCGCTCTCGCGCACACCTCAACACAAAAGAAGGTGAGCGCGGAAGCTGTACTGTTGTGTGTCTGGGACGGGAGTCAGGATGGTGGTGGTGATGCGGCAGTATCGTATCGATGAGCTGAATGAGCAGCGATCGTGTGTGCAAACGTGCCACTGACTTTAGGACTTCACACACACTCTCTCTTCTGTCACACACTCACTCTCACTCACACACTCACTCTCACTCACTCACACACTCTCTCTCACTCTCAGTCACACACACACACACACTCACTCACTCACTCACACACACACACACTCACACACTCTCTCTTACATCCACACACACACACACACAGCCTCAGTCATGACACGTCAGCGGCGTCGACGCGGCCGCGCTCGTGCACTGCCAAGGATCGCCAATCGCGCCCCCAGCGCTGCCACTGCCCCCAGTACTGCCCCCAGTACTGCCCCCAGCGCTGCCACTGCCCCCAGTACTGCCCCCAGCGCTGCCTCTTCCTTCAGCGCAAACCACGCGCCAGCCAACCCACAGCCACCGCCGCCGCCACAAGAGCAGCAGCAGCAGCAGCAGCAGCAGCAGCGCCAGCCGCTGCATATGGGTGGGCTTGATCTCGCCGGATGGACCCACGTGGCCAACACGCTGATCAAGCAGGTTGGCGTGCCAGTAACGCGCGCACCGCTGAGCGGACCCACCGACCTGCGCAGCGTCAACAGCCTGCGCGCGTTCCTGCACCTCATGTTCACCTGCCGCGCCCTGTACCAGGAGCTCCCGTGGTCTGTCCCCAAGTGGTGCCTGGAACAAGCCTTCTTCGGCTTTGCCTCGCTGGACTGGCTGGACGGGGCCTCGCCGCTGAACTTGGACTGGGGCGAGGTCTGCGACGGCAACAGCACCGGCGGAGCATGGGAGGAAGAGCGGTTTGTGGCGTACTCGCGCATGGGCATCCGCTGGGACGGCCGCTGCCGCTTCCTGCACCGCAGATGGACATCGCAGGACATGCTGCGCCAGTTTGCTGTGGTGGGCCGCGTCACCCTGCAGGGGCTCAACAGCACAGACGCCTGGGAAATGTGCGCCAGCCAGGGAACTTTGGGCGCGCCACCCAGAGACGACAACACTGGCCATGTTCATCGTGATGACAGCAACGACAACCGTGCTGATGACGATGATGATGATGACGATGGTGATGACGACGGTGCCCAAGAGGCGCAGCCAACACAACAACAACAACAACAACAGCAGGGAGCGGAGCCGCCAGTCGTGGTCATGCATGCTCGCCCAGCCTCGTTCACGTTCCAAGCCGGGTACTTCCTTGACACGTTTGATCAATCCTTCCACGGCTTCCAGGACCTCGTGCGCCCGTCAAAGTGCGAGCGCCTGGAAGTGCTCATGGAAACCGAGCGGTACGCGAACGGGTGGCACATGAACGTCCGCGACGTGTCTGCCCTGAACATCGCCTCCCACACCCCGCTCAACCGCATGACGCTGGCAAACGTGGACAAGGTGGAGCTGCAGCTGTGCCCGGCCCAGCGGGCCTTTGGCGCGCTGCTTGCCAGCCAGGGCGTGAAGAGCGTCACGCTCAAGCCACTACAGGGCACGCGTGGGCCCGCGCACGATTTTGACCTGCGCGACATCCGCCGCGTGCCAGATGTGCACCTGTTCAACCTGGGCTGCATCACCGACCTCTCACCGCTCGGCGATGCGGAGAATGTCGTGCTGGACTACATTCAGCACGCGCGCAGCCTCGCACCGCTGGCCAACGTGTCGCACATCACGCTGCTGGAGTGCAACGGCCACACCCACAACCTCATGCTCCACTGCGATGGCATCCGCACCTGGCGCCTCAGGGGCGTCACGGGCACACTCACCCTGCCGCGCGCCACAGCCGTGCGCCTCTCAGACAGCCTCGACTTTGCAGAGGTCGTGTGTGGCAGCAAGCACATGGACGTGCTGCTGCTGGACAAGTGCACGGAGCTGCGCGCGGTGTCCCTGCCCAACTTGGAGGCCGCTTGCAGCGTGGACCTGAGATGCTGCCGTCACATCACCGAGCTCTCGGTCCCAGCCACCCGCATCAACAGCGTTGACCTGACCAAGTGCATGCGCCTCTCGTCCGTGCACTTGCCCAACCTGCAGCACCTGCGCTCGCTCAGCATCGACTACTGCAAGGACCTCACCACCATCACCTGCCCACGTCCGCTGCGGCTCAGCTTCCTCTGCCTGCATGCATGCAACAAGTTGCGCAACATGAGCACCTTCTTTGAGCACGCCGACATGGCCATGCTCTTTGACATGGACGTGTCCAACCCCGAAGTCATGCGGCAGCTTGGCGCACGCGCCAGCGCCCTCCACTTTCGCGGCACCTGCATCACCGACCTCGCCATGCTCAAGCACGTGCCAACCACCACGCGGGTGCACGTGTTCAACTTTCGCGGGGCTGTCCGCACGCCGCCGCCGCCCTGCCTGCACGAGCTGCACATGTCGGCCGATGCCACCAGCGGGCGCAGTGGCGAGTGCAGCATCGAGCACCTGCGCGGCGTGAAGAGGGTGCGCGTGCGTGGCAGCTCCACAAAGCTGACGGGGCTCAAGGCCATTTGTGGGCACGAGGAGTTTATGATCAGCCAGTGCTCGCTCGCAGATGCCACCATCACCGACTGCAAGCGCGTTGTCTTCAACAAGTGCACGTCCGATGTGCACCTCGCCACCATTGAATCGCTCGACATCAACAAGAGCAACGTCAGGGTGAAGAGCATGGTCAACGTGCAGTCCGTCAACATGTACGGCTGCCGTGTTCGCATTGCCTCCACCAACAACGTGGGCGTGCTCGCTCTCCACGACTGTGACATTGCCAGCTTTGAAGCATTTGCTGGCGTGCACACGCTGGTGCTGCGCAAGTGCAGGTTCGATGCCGCCGCTGTGTGCACGCTGCCCCGGGTGCCTGTCGTCGTTCTGCAGCACTGCACCGACACGACCAACCAGCGAGAGTACACGACCCACATCTTGCGTGCCGAGACAGCGCAGGAGCTGCATGCTGCCGTTGGCTCACCGGACCGCCACCGGTCACGCACGACCGTGGTCACCCGCGACGCCGTCCAGCGCGCGGCAAATGGGGTGTCACGCCTGTTTGGGCACTGCGGCACGCTCTCCCGCGAAATGCGCCGTGTTGACGATGAGCCGCTGTGGGCGAGCGGACCGGGCGTCCGGCGCTGGGCCAATGGCGATGACGGTGTTGACGACGACATCGACCACATTGTCAACGACCCTTACCTCGGCATGAGTGACCTGTTCTTCCCCGACCCAGGCCACTTTATGCACGACGAGGGCAGCGGAAACGGCGGAAACGGCGGAAACGGGAGCCGCCAGGACCGGGGCGGGCAGGGGCAGGGGGAGGTGCGGCAGCAAGCCGGCAACAGAGACCCATACTTTGACTTTGATGCGTTTGCAGGGTACGGTGTGACTGGGGCGCAAGATTTTGTGCCGTGGTCCCCGAGCATCTATGAGGGCGGCACTGATGCAAGCACATACGTGCCGCCGTTCATACCACCGGTCCCTGGTATGGAGGGCCAGGTGATGGTTGAGGACGCCTACGGGCAGGTCTTCATGATGAGTTTGGCAGAGGCGCTCCGCCGAGCCAACAACATCCCGCCACAGTGAGCATGTCTGTGTGTGTGTGTGTGTGTGTGTCTGTGTTGTGTCTGAGTGTGTCGTGTGTGTGTGTGTGTGTGTGTGTGTGTGTGTCGTGTGTGTGTGTGTGTTGTGTCTAGGTGTCTGAGTGTGTCTGTGTGTGGTGTGTCTGTGTGTGGTGGGTTGTGTGTGTGTGGTTGGTTGGTTGGTTGGTTGGTTGGTTGGTTGGTTGACGACGTAAGGTGTTGTGTTTCCGCCTCCGTTTCACTGCAGTGACTGCTTTCGTTGTACGTGTCTTGCACTGCGCAATGCATGTTGGTTCATTCATTGCGGCCCATAATGGTGGAATTCATTGCGGCCCATAATGGTGGAAATGAAGTTCCAAACAGCACAACAAGACGTCACAACGTGTGCATGAAACGGTTATGTCGTGGTTTTACGTGGTGGGATGGTGGGAAACGTAACGAAAGAGGAGATCGACATCACATGACCACGTGCAGGATACAACGAACGCGTTGGAGGAACACACTGACATAACAGCTCAGAGTCGTGCATCTCTCAAGCAATGCAACAGAAGAACAACAAAATTAACGGCAAGCGTGCAGCAGGTGTGGTGTGGTGCATCGGGGTATGTGAATGAAATCACGCCAGCAGAACAGGTGTGACCACAGCAGTGATGGCGTCAACACATCGCCTCGCCTTTGACAACCACATCACCCAGTACGTTGCTAGGCTTCGCTTTCGCATTTCGTGAACGTCCGCGTCACCGCTTCAACCACATCATATGTCGGCTGGGATTGCTTGCGCTGCTGTTGCTGTTCACTCACAACTCGCAACCGCTGCCCAAACAGTGATTCATGCTGAGCACCGGCATTCTCGCCCAAAGCAACGCCACTGCGGCCAGCCTTTGCTTCTGCTTGCAGTTCGGTGCCCCTGTCTTCATGTTCTTCCTCCCACCCCTCTTCCTCAATGTCGTACAGCCCAGCCGACCACGCGTGCATGGAGTGCACACGCGAGTGGTGTGGTGTGTTGGGTTGCAACTCTGGCAACAGCGACGGCGTCGCATACACGTGCGTGGGATCGCTGTGGTGGTCCATGGACTGAGCGTCCACTGCACTCTGCTGCTCATGCTGCTGCTGATGATGTTGTTGTCGCGGGGGTGCAATATCATACAAGGAAGGATTCCACTTGTGCTGCACTTGTGCTGGTTCACCTGTGTGTGTGTGTGTGTGTGTGTGTGTGTGTGTGTGTGTGTGTGTGTGTGTGTGTGTGTGTGAGAGAGTGAGTGCAACGGTGTGATCTTCGAATGCTGGGCAGTGCACAGCACGCACGTTTGACCACTTCACCCTGCCGTTCACTTCACACCGATGACGTACAGCAAAGAGGAACACATCCCAACACCTCACTTCAACTGCAACACCGCATGCACAGCAACAATTCATTGCACATACCAGTAGCATCCTCGCTGTGCGGAGAGAATGTTGGATTGGTCGCATTGATGATGTTCTTCACCTGCGACAGTCAGCCAACATCAAGCAAACAAACGTGATGGTTCAGTCGAGGAGAGAAGAGGACGGATCTGAAGTCATCTCTGGTTTGCACCAAAACAAAGGACGTGTACGCAAGCAGACGCACCGTGGCAAGCTCTGCCTGAGCCCGTTTCCGTCGCCGCCACACAATAGAAGCCACGCACCCCAGGACCTACAGTGCCACGACACCGCGGTGTGGACACGTACACAGATACACAAGCAAACCAACAGGGGCAGGGTTCTGCGTAAGTGGTGGTGGATGACAGCTAGCAAACCAAAAGAAAACTTGGGAGGAAGAAGGATGTGCAACAGCCCACGCGGGTCTGGCACACGCACACACACACACACTGATCTTACAAACACACGCGCATTGGTCTAACACATGCAGACTCACCAGCAGCACGCCAACGACGGCGCCTGCAACAGCACCACCATCGCTTCCACCGCCGCGCTTCTTAGCATCGGCAACAGACGTGATGTGCGCTGCTGCCAGGGTTTCGAGCCCTTCAAGCCGAGCAAGCAAGATGTCGGCAGGCACCCACTCCAAGCTGGTGCCGTTGCGAACCCCAAACTCAACCACCGTCGATGGCTGCGCCAACAGCCCACGCCGTCCACGGATCCAAGCGTTGTCGGAGTCGCTGTAGTTGTTGTTGTTGTTGTCGCTATCACGGCTGCTGCCACTGCTGCTTCTCCTTCTCCTCCCTTGTTGTTGCTGTGGGACTGTGTTGATGTCGGTGGTGGGGCGACCGAGGGCTTTGTCGTAGACGAGAAACACCACCACAAAGTCCACATTCAGCGCCTCCTCCAGGTCGCGCTCCAGCTGCTGCACGTCGCCACCAAAGATGGACTCCGCCGTGCCTGCAAGCACCAGCTCCACCACCTGGTCCGCCCGCTCCGGTCGCATCAGCGCCTCAACCACCACCGTCCGCACCGCAACACCCGTGTTGCCGTTCGCATCCGTCACCGCGTACTCAACCTCGTACGTCCCCGCCACGTGCACGTCAATCGCATCGGCTCCACTCACCACCACCTGCGACGTCACGTTGCCGTCGTGCACATCCTGTGCGCTGTACCCGGCCTCCACATACCGTGTCGCATACAGCACGTGCACCTCCTCCGCGCCATACAGCGTCACGTCGGGCGGCGTCGTGTCCACCACCACCACCGCCCGCTGCACACCAACAGCGGCGTTGCCTGCGCGGTCGTGCACGCTGTACTGCAGCACATACACGGTGCCCACCTCCGCCGACGCCACAGCAGCATCCAGCCCAAGAACATCAAACGCTTCATCATTGCCTTGCTACGTGCTTGCATGCAGCACGCGTGCAATCGCATCCTCCCCGATACCGTCAACGTCGCCTGGCGCAACAACGCCGCTCGCGTCGCGCGTCACAACGCTCACGCCAACGCACACGTCCCCGCTCAGGTCGCCGTCGTGGGCGTCGAGAGCTGTTGCTCCAGGATCAGCAAATGAGCCGCGATCGTCACCAAACTCCAGCGCCTGCACCCGATCCCCAAGCAGCTGCAGCGAGGGTGCCGTCGGGTCTGCAACCCGCACCACGCGCTCCACAAACGCCACGTTGCTCGCTGCGTCCGCCACCGTGTAGTTGATGCGGTACACGGTGCCGCTCGGCGCTCTCGACTCCACCGCGTCCATTCGAGGTGAAGACCACACGCGCGGCGACAGCGGCGGCATAAACGCGCGCGCAGACGAATACGCGCACACGGTGGGAACAACAACGCCGGCCTCCTCAAGCTGCGTCGTCGCCACCACACGCGATCGCACATCACCATCGATGTTGTCATATGCACGTGCAATGCCCGGCTCAACCCACGTCACGCCGTCGCCAACCGTCACGCTCAGGTCCCCGCTGACGCGCAGGTCCGGCGGCGTTGTGTCGATTATGGTGATGGTGCGTGTGACGCTGGCCGTGTTGCGGGACGGGTCTGTCACCGTGTATGTCACAGTAAAGGTTGCAGGCGACGTTGTTGGCGCCGCCTCGTACCCTCCATCGTCAATCACCAGCGTCAAGTCGGCGTTGTCGTAGTACAGATCAGCCAGCGTCACGCCAGGGTCGATGTCGGTGAAGTTGCTGCCGGCCTCCACCACCAGCAGCGCGTCGCCAATGAGCTCGATGCTCGGGGCCGTGCGGTCCAGCACGTGCACGGTGCGGTTGATGGCGTCGCAGTTGCCGGCCTTGTCGCACGCGTCGTACTCCACCGTGAACACCGCGGGCACGGACGGCGGCTTGCTCAACACATTGTTGGTGACCACCACCTCCACCCCGCGCCCAATCGCATCCTCCAGCAGGTCCGTCGCTGTTGCTCCTGCATCGACATATTCCGTCCCGGCCTCGTGCGTGATGTTGTGCTCGCCATTGATGGTGATGCTTGGCGCCATCGTGTCCCGCACCTCAATCACATACACCACCGTCGCCGTGTTGTCCGACGCATCCGTCGCCGTGTACGTGAACGTGAACTGCGTGCCGTCGTCCACAACCGAGTCGAAGGTCTGCAAGCAGGGGTGTGTGTGTGGGGGGGGATGTGTGTGGGTGTGGGGGTTGGGGGAAAAGGGTGTGTGAGACGGGGGAATGTGAGTGTAAAGGGAAAAGGGTGTGTGAGACGGGGAGTGAGAAGTGGGAGAAATGGAAGCGATGGAATGATGCATGACGTGGTCAAGACACAACAGCGACAAGAAAGATACAGGAAAAGAGCGACAACGCACCGACTCTTCGTTGCGTCGCACGTCACCGCCGTTGACAGCGGTGTCGAATGTATCAAATGCAGACTGGCTCGGGAAGATAAACTCTGTTGCCGCCTCGTGGATGACCACGTTGTGTTCCAACACTTCGCGGTCGCCAAAACCAATGGTGATGACCTGTGATTGGTCGGCAATGTGTGACAGGGATTGGTGAGGAAGTGAACAGATACAAGAGTTAAATGGGAGGCAAGGAGAAACGGAGGCAAAGAGACTCGGAGGCAAGGAGGTAAGTGAGTGTCCACGAAGGTAGGCAAGCACACAACACAAACACACTCATGTACACACACACATACACGCACACACACACACACACACACCGGTGGAAGGGTGTCCACGACGGCTGCTGTGCGTGTGGTGGGCGGCGCCTCGTTGTCGTTCGAGTCGGATGCAGACAGCGTGTACACCACCTCGTACATGCCCAGCGTGTTCACGTCCACGTCGCTGGCATCGTACTCCAGCAGGTCGATGCCGAGTGTTCCGTCCACGCGGTCCACGATGGAAACGCCGGCCGTGAAGTTGCTGCGCATCACCTCCTCCCCGGCCTCCAGCTGCAGCACTGCAGGGTCAAATGTGATGGCGGGCCCGGTCGTGTCCACGACTTCCACGGTGATGTCGCGTGTTGCCGTGTTCATGTTCGCATCCGTCGCCGTGTACGTCAGCATCTGGTCAGACCCCACAGTGCCTGTGTGTGTGTGTATTGTGTGTGTGTGTGTGTGTGTGTTTGTGTGCGTGTGTTGTGTGTGTGTGTGTGTGTGAGGTAAGATCCGTGTGAGAACAACATGCAACAAGATGCAGTGCAAACCAAGATGCGAGTGATCAACCGGACCCAGAAGGGCACCACATCTGTTCATGGCATTCACGCACTCACTCGTGTCAATGTCGTCGATGTTGGGTGGTGGTGTCTTTGTCACGGTGCCAGCCGCCGTGTCTGTCGCCGTAAAGATCGGGGGATCAAAGGCAAACGTGGCCTCGACGACATATGTGTCTTGAATCTCCTCGTTGTTGTCTGGTCGCCGCAGCACGATGGTGGGCTTTGCAATGTCTGCAGTGAAATACATGGCGGCTGGGTGAGAAGAAAGCGAACGGCGTGCTTGCATGCAAGCGAAGGTGTCACCATACAAGCGGTTGGTATCTTCACACGCCATCAGCACCTTTGCATGTGCGGTCGCTTGTTGGTGTGCAATCCTGGTCAATAACGTATCCAGGTTCGCACTCATTGCATGCCATGCAGCTGCTTTGTCCTTCGTCCGATTGAAACGTGTCGTCGGCACACGCCTCGCATTCCGTGAGCCTGTGGCCGGTATCGGCACGGAACTTGCCTGCAGGCAATGCACAAGATGAAGCATGAGTTAGCGTGAGTGGCATGCAAAGGGAAGAAGCAAGCAAGCAAAGGGTGCAACAGAGACGTGAACACAGTGGCAAAGAGACACGAGAAGCACAGGTGCATCCCACCTGCTTCGCATAGTTCACACGTGCGGTCCTCCGTCGTGGTTCCAGTGACGAACGTGCTGTATGTGATGCAGTCTGTCGTGCACATAGTTGACACGGGACAGCCAAAGCACGTGAGAGAAGTTGTCAGTGTGCGTGTGTATGTGATTGTACTTGCAGAACCATGGTTGCATGGGCTGAGATGCAGTGCCACCATCACCCCCACGCTCGCCAACAGCACAGTGCACGAAGACAACGCAAACGCACTGCGCATACATTTTTGGCCAGAGCTGCCCTGGTATTTGCCTGCACCACATGCCTTGCACTCTGTTTGCTGGCGCTTATTTTGGTGCTGGCCAGGATCTCACGGCTTGCAGTCCATCTGGTTCGTGCCATCCTGGTAGTGCCCATGGTCGCACACTGCACACAAGCGTCGTTGCTGGCTGTCGGTTCGATGGTCACCTCATACCCGGCCCACACGTGGACCACGAGGTACACGAGGTGTCCTGGTGCGAAGACTTGGACTGGTAGTGGCCTGCACAATAGGAATGTGTGGTGACAGTGTGGGAATGAAAAGACGTTGAGCGTGCGTGTGTGCGTGTGAGTTAGTGAGGAGGGATGGAGTGAGTGGGTGAGTGAGTGAGTGGGTGAGTGAGTGAGTGAGTGAGTGAGTGAGTTGAAGTGCTTGTGCAAAGAACAGCGTGCTTCACCAACAAATACAACAACAGCACAACCCAACATCATGCATGGCACAAGCGCGCGCACACTATATGATCACGGTGTCCCATGTTCACCCCTGTTGCTGTCTTCGACTCACGTGGACTGCACGGCGAGCACGTCGCATCCTCTGTTGATGATCCCGATGTCCACTTCTCGCCCTGGCTGCACATTTTCCAGTCCTTGCAGTCTGGAGTGACATACAAGAGAAAGTGGAAGAAGAGGAGGAATGAGGCGAGGAGGACATGAGGGAAGCGCACGACAAGGCGAGCAACACAAGACATGAGCGACGCGCTGCATCGGCATTGAGTTAGTTCAGCTCACCTGTTTGGCCAGAGACATCTTGGTATTTGCCAGGGCCACAGCTCTTGCAGTTGTCTGCGTTTGTGGTGTCGCCGTATGTGCCGGCATCACACTTGTCGCAAGTCCTGTCGGATGAGGAGGTGGGGTCGGCGGTCACATAGTAGCCGCTGCTGCACGTGGTCCAGGCGTTACACGACATGTCCTGGTGGGCGGTCTTGGATTGGTACTCCTCTGAAGAGTGAGGGGAACAGTGTCGGCGAGAAGAGGGGGGGGGGGAAGGGATAAGGTGGCGTGTGAGGGGGAAGATGATACTGCACCACCACACAACGCTGCAGCCATAACCATTCTGTTCTCATCATTGCAGTTGCAGGGGTTGCCGCTTACGTGATCCGCATGGCAAGCACGATGCGTCCTCTGTCGCCGATCCAGATATCCACTTCTCGCCCTGTCCACAAGTCGTCCAGACCTCGCAGCCTACATGACAAGTTGTGAGTTTGGGTAGTGACACAGTGTGAGGAAAGCAGACACAACCATGTGAGTAAGAAGGGAATGGTGCTGGTTCCGCTTGCTCACAGCGAGAGCCGAGAGGACGAGATGCAAGCAGTCGAGTGCTATGTGCACATGAAACACACGCACACACGCACACACGCACACACGCACACAATGATGGCACTCACTTGAGGCGCCGCTGCCAGGTTGGAACTCCCCAGTGGGGCAGTCCTTGCACGACGTGTCCTGGTGGCCGATCTCGTCTTGGTACTTGCCTAGTAGGAGGGGTGCGATCCAAGAAGATAGGGCGGAGGTTGAGGAATGAGAAGAGGTGGACATCAAACACACGAATGTCAGGAGGGAACGTGGAAGGACGAGCACACACACACACACACACACCTGGCCCGCAGTTTGAGCATGTTGCGTCATCGGTGGTCGAGCCGGCTGTCCACTTCTTTCCCCGGCCACAGGTGCGCCAGTTCTTGCACCCTGGAAATGCACGGGAAGACGTGGGGAGATGTGAGTGGGTTGGTGGGTGTCAGCATACAAACGAAGATCACCTCACACACAAAATCAGACACATCTGTCACGGCGCATCCACAGCGGTTGAAGCTCACCTGTTTGAGCGTGACGGTCTTGGTACTTCCCGCTGTCGCATGTCTTGCATTGCTCTGCCATGGTCGTATCGCTGTACATGCCCTCCACGCAATGGAAGCAGATTCGATTCGTGGTAGCGGTTGGATCAGCCATGATGTACTCGCCAGGCATGCAGACGGTCGGGTCTTTGCATTCTGCAAGGCGGCGTGAATGGTGAAGGGGTGAGCACAGTCGGAGGGAAAAGACAAGCGGACAGAGACAACACATGCCCCACACTACACACAGATCAAGGACGCTACACGCACGCACGCACCTGATTGCCCTTCGGCGTTCTGGTACTTGCCACCGGGACAGTCGTTGCAGGTTGGCTGGTTGGGCGCCCCTGTGTATTTGCCTGGTTCGCACAGGCCACACTCCCGGTCCTGTTTCGTGTTGGGCTCCTGCGTCACGTACTTCCCAGCTTCGCACGTGGAGGGGTCGTAGCATTGCGTGTCGCGGTGACCAGTCTTGTCCTGATACTTGCCTGATGATGGCGCGACGATGTGTGAGCAGATGATGAAAGCAGTGCATTCTTCACTGCATGCAGTACAAGGAGGTGCTGCGGTGATGCACACTGCATGACTCACCCAATGGGCAGGGTGGACATGTGGCGTCCTCCGTGTTCGATGGCTTGAACCACCGTTCGCCCTTGTCGCACCGAATGGTCTCACTGCATGCTTCATTGCCTGCGGAGGACTTGTAGAATTGAAACCCGCACTCAACGCAATCGTCACCCGTGTAGCCATACCCTGCAAAGCCACATACACAGCATTGCAAGTGAGCCGCTACACCCTCACTGACACCAAACTGCACTCACTCACGCAGCACCCACACCCAAATCTGTCCGCAACCATGCTGGCACGAGTCGCAGCCCCGAAATGCAGTCATACCTGCGGCGCACATGCACGAGCCGAGCTGGCACACTTCGCTTCCGTCTTGTGCACAGTCTTGTCCTCCTCCTCCGTTGTTGCACGTCTTGCCCACGGCGCCTGCACACCAGCAAGGTGTCACATGTGTGCAAGCTCGATGTGAGATGCAATGGTGGAACGGTAGAATGGTGGTGTCTTGGTGTTTAGTGGTGTCCCCAATCCACAACAGCAGCAGCAAGGCATCCACTCGTCCACCAAGCTTTCCTCCTCTCCACAACACCACACAACCACACTGTACAACAACACCAACACCCACCTGCGCACTGAAGTCCCGCGAGCGCATGGATGCACAGGGCGATCGCCAGCACCGCCAAGGTCCTCATCCGCAGCATCCTTGTCCTTTTCCTGCCCCTTTTCCTTTTTCCTGTTATTTGCTGCGGACAGCAGGACACTTTCCCCACTTGGGCTGACATGTATTTGGCCTATTGTCAGCATATTCCGCACCGTTGTGCTACAACAAGGCCATGGCGCCAACGACCGCCAAGATGATCGAGTGCGTTGAGTGCAACAAGCACAACAAGCAGCAATACAAGGACGACGCTGCTGCTGCTGTTGTCCCATGCCCTTGCTTTGCAGAGGAACGTGTGACACGTGAGGATGTGCCCTCAAGCGCGTGGGCTCTTGGTACCACAGTTCCCGGTGGCAGCGTTGCCTTCTGGCCTTCCGCTGCTATCGTTCGATTCCATTGTCCGCAGTGTGCGGCAGGTGTCGTTGTGTGCCCTGTCTGCCACACACCGTCATGGAAGCAACAACAGAAGCAACTGAAGCAGCAGCAGAAAGAACAGCTACAGCCGTCCTTGAACACGTGTAGCGCATGCGGCATGCTTCTCCTTCCTGGTGCGTGTGAAGCTTGAAAGGAGGGGGGGGGAAATGCAAGCACTCAGGGTTGTGCTCCTCATGTCACCTCATATTGCGCTATGCCTTGCTGTGCTGCTGCTTGCCTTTTGCTGCCTTCAATGTCGCTTTCATTGCTCACCCTGTCACGCATCACTGTGTATGCACGCATCACTGACCGTTTGCTTGGGCAGACTGGGTTGAGCGGAAGCTTGGGCTGACGGGCGCGCATGTTCATTGCGAGGAGGACGCGTTTGTGCTGCAGAGACGCTGGTTTGGATCTGCATATCTGAAGCAGAAGCGCCAAGAGCTCCGCCGCCTCTTTGCCCTGGCACAGCAAGCAAAGCAACAGCAAGCAAAGCAACAGCAGGACGCAGCAACGAGCGAGCCCCAAACCAAGCGCGCAAAGCGCAGTGGTGGCGACATTCAGCACGATGCGCAACACCAACACAGCGCGCGCGATGCAGAGCGTCGCATGGTTGCTGTACGCTGGGCCATGCACCGCGGGGAAGAACAGCTGCAGGAACCAGAGGGCGGTGCCTTGAGCACGACAGATGCACTGGTAGTCGCCGTTGTCAATTTGGAGGGAGCAGGTGTGCTGGCGTCATCCCGGCACCGGGCGCTGGTTGAGCGGGTGCTGCACCACGCCGCATGTGGTCGCGGCCTGCAGCAGCTGCGGGCACGCATCCACCGGCTCGTTGCCGCTGCAAAAGCGGCCAAGAATCACGGCTGTCCGCTCGCAGCGCACGTGCTCTCGTCTCGTGCGCGCGTGTTTGCACACATATTGGAAGCGGCAGCGTGCAACGCGTCTGTGAACGACACGACTGCAACCACCACCTCATCATCATCCTCGTCGATGCTGTCATCCTCCTCATCATCAGCAGCATCACCAGCACGCGTTGCACACGCCAAGAAGAAGAAGAAGACATCAGCGAAGGGCGTCAACGCAACTGATCGCCACGACCACAGCCACAGCAACGCCGTTCACGCGCAAGCATCACACGTCACACAGGGCAGCAATCTTCAACACCAGCACAAACAAGAACAAGGTGATGGTGGTGGTTGTGACAATGGCCGTGATTGTGATGATGGTGATGGTGAAGGTGAGTCAGCGTCGCAGGCGCCGCACTTGAACGGGTCATCATCGTCACCTGTGCAGTCGCGGTCGCTGCCGTGCTCGCAGCGCGTGGCCGCCATGCTGTCGTCTCCGCCACCAAAGTTCCCCGTCATCACAGGTCACGCGGCAGCGGCGGCAGACGCACACGTGTATGGCGTGCACACCACGGCTGTTCCACTCGTGCCCGCCCTCAAGACACACGCAACAACAACAGCAACAACAACAACAACAACAACAACAACAACAGCAGCGACAACAGCGGCAATGGTGACAGCAGCTGGGGCCACAGAAGCCACTGCACCAGCCATTATGGCCACAGCTACAGGCGGAACGATGATGACACTGCAGCCTGGCCAACAGCCCGTCCAACAGCAGGCGCACCACGCTCCATCGTCATCATCCTCCTCCTCCTCATCCACCTCCTTGCCATCATCATCGTCTTCGCTGTCGGTGTCGATTGCAACGCCGGCAACACAGGCGCTGCTTGGTGACGTGGTGGCGTGGGCTGGATCGCTGGCACACGCGTGCATGACTGCAGTGGCGCAGGCGGAGGGCAACGCAGCAAATGCATCATGGCTCCTCTCAGCATCAGCATCATCATCATCGTCAACGTCGTCATCATCATCATCAGGTGGACAGCACGGCGGTGGAGATTCGACCATCACGGTGGGCGGCACGAGTGCAAACAGCAGTCGCAACAGCAATTGCAATGGCACTGGGACACGTGGTGGCCGCGACGCAGACAAATCGCACCCCGTGCGAATGGATGATAGCCGTGATGATGACGATGACAACGAGCATGATGATGAGAATAATGATTGTGATGATGATGATGATGATGATGAGAATGATGATGATTGTGATGATGATGGTGACAACGCGAACGGTGGCGGTGAGAGCTCGGACCTTGCCATGCCGTCCAACATGGGTGTACATGACGACGACGACGACGAGGGCGAGGGTGATGATCGTGGCGTGCCTGCAAGCACGACCGCACACGGCCATTCTGCTGTGAACGGCAGCACGAACGGCAGTGTCAAGACACCCACTGCGTGCAACGGCGCCCCCATGTCAACTGTGGACGCGCTGGTGTCACAGCGATCACGCCACGGCGTTGAACGATTGGGAGAGCGGTTATCGTTTCTTCGCTCAACGCAGCAGCAGCGGCTGGCGTATGTGAACGCGCTGGCCGTTGCACGCTGGCTTTGGACGGCGACACACATGCAGTCAGGACAGCCGCACTAGCTGTGTGCATGTGCATGTGTGCGTGCGTGGGGGGGGGGGTTTCCTTTTGTGGAGTGAGCGGGCGCCCTGCGCACGTGTGCGATGTGCAACACACGCCTTTGACTTTTTTTGTTTCGGTCGTTGGTTTTGATTTATACGTTCGCTCACGCTTGGTCATCAGCATGATGTAAAAAGAAGAAGAAAGAAGAAAGAAGAAGAACAACATGGTGGGAGCAGCCAACCCAGCGACGTGGCGTTGTAGTTTGGGGGGAGGGGGGAACGGAAGGGGGAACATGAACTGGCACAGCAACCAACCACAGCCAGCCGTTGAAAATTCAAGGAAAAGAAAACGCACACACACACACACTCACACAGAGACACAACACACACACACAATTGCACGCGCTCAAAGCGTTGTCACACGTTCACAATATCAGCACGGGACGTCTGCCTAAAATCCCCAATTCTCCACACGGGTGACCCAACACCAGGCCGTAAGCGATCCCACTCGACACATCAACCCATTCGCCCACTACAAACACCATCAACACTGACACCACACAACACGAGCACCAACCTCGACACATCCCATCCCGTGCCATCACCTGAGCTTCTCGAGTTCTTCAAACAGCTCCTCCAGGCCGGCGCCGAGCGGCCACTGCGTCTCAATTGCCGCGCCGTTGTAGAACAGCTTGCGCGCAAGGATGATGCGCTGCTCGTCGTGGATGCCAAAGCCGTGCTCAAGCAGCGCGCTGATGAAGCACAGGTCCGTGCACAGGTAGGGGGCGTCTTCGCTGCTGACGTTGGGGAAGGTGGACCGGAGTTCCGACGTGGACATGCCGCACACGCGCTCGGCAACGTCCTTGTAGTGCTGGATGGACAGCGAGCCCTGCTCAGCATCGGGGCCCAAGATGCCTGTTTGGGAAGGGAGGGGTGAATGAATGAGTGAGAATGAGTGGGTGAGGGAGTGAGTGAAAGGGGGATGGGGGTGAGAAGGGCAAAACGAAAGGAGGAAGAAGGGCCATGAAACAACACAACACCACAACACAACACTAATAAAGACACGCACACACACAACAACATACACACAACACAGCACAACACACACACACACACACACCACACAACACCACACACACGACACGACACGACACGACACGACACAACACAACGCAAATACAGATACACACACGCTTTCTGCAGCGCCACTCACCAACGTCCTGTGCGCGATCAAAGTAGTACGACATGGCAAAGATGGGCTGGTGTTTTGAAATTGGCGGCTGCTGCGGCGCGCGGACAAATGATCCGTTTGGATCCGCAATGACGTGGCGCGCCCGCTGCATGCAGTCGCCGGCTGACACGGAGGTGGCACCGGTCACGCGGTATTTGCGGTCGTTGTACGTGTACACGAGCGTCTCGTCGTGGGGGATGCACGGCGACCTGGCGCGGACAAGGCGTAATGAGACGTGCGTGTGTGCGTTGGGGGGGAGGGAGGGGCAGAGGTGAGGAGGGTGAAACGGATGGTATGAACGGCGCAGCGGCTTGTGAGGAGAAGGTGGTACACACACACGCACACACACACACACACGACACACACACATGCACACACACACCACACACCACACCCACACACCACACACCACACCCACCCACACACACACACACACACACACACACACACACACACACACACACACACACACACACACGACACATTCACACAACCCAAACACCTGCAAAACAACAGCCCCACGAAACGAAACGCACTGGATGGTTGATGTGCCCGTGACGTGCGTGTCGCCTTCCTTGAACTCAAACCCGAACATCTGTCCGCGTCCCGCCATGAGGCCGTAGCCGAGATGCGAGTACAGGAACATGTGGTGCTCCGCCCCCATTGTCGTGGACTTGCGCAGCTCGGGCGAGGCCTCGGGCGACGCAAGCGCAATCTGCAGCCATGACGATAAAAGGAGGTGAGGAAGAGGTGAGGAGGGTAAGAGGTAGGGGAGGTAGAATGGGACAAGGGTTTTGTGTGGTGACGTTTAGTAGGCATACACACACAGAGGCAAAGACAGACATAGACAGACACACACACACACACAGACAGACAGACAGACAGACAGAGACAGACAGACAGACACACACACACACACACACACACACAAGCACACAACCAAGCACAAATGCACAAAACAACCAACGCCCACCTGTGTTGATCCGCCGCCGAGGTCGAGGACGACGCACGTGTGCTGGGCATCGAGCGCAATGCTCTCCAGCAGGTAGTTGACTGTCACCCACGCGAACATGCCCTCGTCCAGGCCGCTCATAATCTCCACCGCGTCCTCCGGGTCGTACAGGAATGGATATGACTGCAGCAGCGTCTCCACCTCCATCAGTAGCGCCTTGGACTGTTCCGGGCGCAGGAGGCGCAGGCCCGCCGTTGCCTTGAGGTTGATGGGCGTGATGGCGCGTGCCTGCTCGGGGACAGTGGACATGGCGAGCTCCAGCAGCGGCACCAGCGACTGCGCGCCCGCACGCGGGTCGTCTGCGAAACTGCTCAGGCCCGGCTTGAGGGCGTGGAAGACCTCGGACTTGAGGACCATGTGTCCGGAGCTGGGGTCGTTTGACTCGAAATGGAACACGTGGATGCGCGATCCTGGATTGGAGACGAGAGCAAGAAGGGTGGAGGAGGGAGAAAGAGGTGCGGGTGAGGTTGTTTGTTTGTTTGTTGAAGAGCAAGCAAGCAACTACTTGAAAAGATCCACTCACATGACGTTCCAGTGCAGGCATGTACGCACGCACGAGCAAGCAATACACATTTGTACATACGTACAAACAGACACAGACACAGACACACTCACACGCACATGCACGAGCAAGCAATACACGTTTGTACATACGCACAAACAGACACAGACACACACGCACATGCACGCACGCAGACCACTGACCTGTGCTGCCGGCGTCCATCATGATGCCGTAGTAGTCCGAGGGGGCGGTGAAGCGCGACTCTTCAAGAAGATACACCAGCAGCACAATCAGCACAATCGCGCCGAGAATGCGCAGCGGGAAGATCGACTGCAGGCGTTTATGACGGAGGTGTGGGTTGCAAGAGGGGTGTGAGGAAAGGATGAAGGGGCGGGCGTAGATTGGGTGCATGCACGGAAAGCGGTTTGGTTCCACGTGAAGCATGGGTGGATGGAAGAAAAACAAAGACAGACCGAAAAGCCTTCAGTGCAAGTGCAACCGCAGACACCCCCGACACACACACACACACACGCACCTTTGAAGAGCCGGCGATGTTGTACTTTTGAAACTTGGAGGGCGGCATGGTGTCGGTGTCTGTGGATGCGCGGGGAACAGCAGAAGTTGCGGTTGCAGTCGCAGAAATCCTGCGCCTGGGGCTTGTGATGGCCGTTGTTGTGGACTGTGCTGGAGCAGATGCCGTGGCGGAGCGCTTTGCGTTGCTCTTGATAGGGGCAACGTGGGAATGGGCTTGGGCGAGGTCGACGTCAGGGCTCTGGCACTGAGACGTGGACACGATGCGGGATGCCTTCATACAAAGCGATGGCACCACAAGCAGCAACAAGGACAAGAAGGAGAGGCAGCAGGAGGACGAGCAGCCCGCGGTGACGCGGTCGTGGCTGTGGCTGACGACAAGCGGCGATGGAGGTTGAACACACTGACGAACTGCGCCAACATGCACACATGTACAGAAGCAAAGCAACGATCAAGTGATGTGTGAGTTGAGGACGACGCAGCAAGCAAGGAGCAGGGAAACAAAAAAGCACAGCGAAACCCAGCAGAAGGAAGAAGATGTGATCATGGGTGTGATCACACAAACACACACACACACACACTCACACACACACTCACACGTACATACGGGGTGACATGCTCAACACCGCATTCAAATCATGTCATCTCACACATCAACCAACACCTGCACGAACCGCTCTGCTTGGTTGCTTCTTGAATGAACAACCACGCCACACCCGCCTTTCCCCTCACACACGCGTTCGGTTGTGGACTGCGGATAATTGTTGATGACACCAGCAAAAGTTCCAAACTTCGCCTGCCGCCAACGACAAGAAAAAACGGAAACTGCTTGCGCTTCACATCTCAACGCACATCGCTTCCGCTTGCATCCTTGTCTGTCACCCAGAACCCACTCTCCTCCTCTCCCCCTCTCCCCCACTCCCACTCGCGTGTCCGGAACACCATGAGCGAGCATGCGTGGTTGGTGGGGCGACTGGATGAGGTGCTGGAAAAACTGTTGAGGCTGCAGAAGCTGTCGCTTGAGACCTATGATGCGAACACGCTGTATCCAACCGTGTCTGCTGCGCTGGAGGAGTCGCACGCCTTCTACGATGAGCTGGATGAACTGTCTGAGGAGGCATTCGACCAGCTGGTCGCGGACGCTCCTGGGTTTGAGGACAAGCTGAACAAGCTCGATACCGCGCATGCGGAGCTTGACGGCCTTGCAGCGCGGTTGGAAGGCGAGACACAAGACACGAGCGCTGTGGACAACGCGTCCGATCAGCAGCAACAACCACAACAGCAGCAGCAACAACAGCAACAACAACAACAACAACAACCACATCAGCCTGCCGTGCCCCGCATCATCGAGCCAAGCTCCTCCGAATGGGAGTCGGACACAGAAGTACAACAACAACAACAACAACAACAACAACAACAACAACAACAACAACATCATCATCATCAACAACAACAACAACAACAACAACAACAACAACAACAACAACAACAACAACAACAACAACAACAACAACAACAACAACAACAACAACACTAAGACGAGAACATGCACACCAACAACAACAAC